ACACTCACAAGGGAAACATACTTCAACACATTCAAGGGCTTGAAAAACTTAGTGATAGTGCTACATACGGCCTCGGGTCAGATCCATTGGAGGTCCTTTTAGAAAGGATTTCTATATCTATCAAGGGAATAAAATATTTTCTTGTTTTAGATGATGTTTGGTATGGGGATGAAGGTGAGAGGTGGGAAGGACTGAAAACCACTTTCAAATTTGGTGCCCCAGGTTGTAGAATTTTGGTAACTACACGTGATGTTGAAGTTGCAAAATGATGGGGTCCTCTTCCTCACAAATCATTTCTCTGGAGAAATTGGGTGACAAGCAATGTTGGTCAATACTTAAACATATAGCATTAGGAGAAAGGGAAGATCAGAATTTGGAGAAAATTGGGAGGGAAATTGCAAAGAAGCGTAAGGGCTTACCGCTTGCTGCAAAGACTCTTGGAAGCCTTTAAAAGTCTAAAATGAGTATACAAGAGTGGTAAATTGTTATGAATGGTGAAATATGGGAACTCGAAATGGAACAAAAGGATATTTTTGCTCCTTTACTATTGAGTTATTATGATTTGCCCCCTCCAATAAAGTGCTACTTTTTGTATTGTGTTCTTTTTCCTAAAGATCACAAGGCGTCATGTGATAATTCCACAATGGATGATGATGGGTTATTTAGCGTGGGACCGTAATTTAGATTTGGAGTCATAAGGGGAAGAGTACTTTCAAATCTTAGTAGCTTGCTCTTTCTTTCAAGATCTTGTAATGGATGATGAGAAGATTATTTATTGCAAGATGCATGACATATATAGTACATGATTTTGCTCAGTTTTTGGCAAAGAATGAGTTTAGGAAATTGGAGATCAAGTCTGATAATTTGAGTATAGATGATGAGTCAAAGCTTTGTCACTTGCTTCGTCACTTGATAGTTATGGTTTATAAAGGGATCAATTTTCCTGCGGTGATTTCTGGTACAGAAAAATTGGAAGCCCTTATAACGTTCACTGGGGTGGGTTCACTGACTTCTGAAGCCTTGTGTAGATTGTTTAATCAATGCAGATGCTTAAGGGTATTGTCTGTTGGTTTGCCCGATGGAACTGATCATTTATGTAAAGAAATTCCTGAAGGAATTGGTAAATTGATGCACTTGAGATTCCTTCACTTGCCTTGGAATAATCAATTAGAAGGGCTACCCAAAACACTCTGCAACCTACTTAATTTGGAGTATTTGGATTTGACGGGCTGCCAAAATCTCAAGCAGTTTCCAGATTCCATAGGAAAACTAATCAACTTGAGGTTTCTTTATACTAATGGTTGCCATGCTCTCACTCACTACCCAAAAGGTGTTCGGAAATTGACTTCTCTTGGACAATTAAGGGGGCTCATTGCTAGAGCTGATCGCAATGATTCTAAAGAATTCAGCCTTGTCGATCTTGAAAACTTGAAGCACCTCCATGTACTGCATTTGAAATTGGTGGGAAATTCAATCGATAAGGAGCAGGCTAGAAAAGTTGAACTTCGGAACATCCCGAAGATACGCATATATTTGGCTAGGAGTATTCAAGAAGCAGACATAAATGAAGCCTTAGACCCACATAAAAGCACACTAGATTTAAAGTTCGTTGATGACTACTGTATGGCCTTTTGAATACAAAAGGTACTCTATTTATCCAATCAAAAAAATAAAGTGCAATTCGCTTTAGGCAGATTCACTACACCATTGATATAGGGGGTGGGCTGCCTTGATGGTTAACTATTGACAGACTGCAAAACAACATTCTGTTATCCCATATATGTGCTCTTTTTTAGTTTGCCCGATCAGAAATTAAATCATCTTATATATGTGCTCTTCAAATTGATATTTTTCTTCAAACATTGCGCATTTCTAATTAAGCTTACTAATACTAATTAAATTTGGACTTTGCCTTGCAGTTGAATGCTTCTCTCTGTAGGATGCAGCAAACTTTCCTAAGGTAATGGTTCATACCATATGGAACAATAATGTTTTCATTTTTCTGATTCAAAAAAGTATTGTATTATTAAAATTGTATAATTTCAATCATTAGATAAAGGCTAGGCTTTCTAATATTATAGGTTGTCCTTCCATCTAATAATTTATGTTTTGTAATTTTAACTGTATTACGTAACGAAACAGGACTCTTTCTAATTTATTAGTATAAAAACAAATATACTTATGGAAGGACCACATGCTTATTATGTAGGAATTGCACGTGCTTTTGGCAAGGAGAGATTTCGGATATTAAGTGGATTTGAGGGTTTTGCCGCCTTCTTTTGTTGGTGAATAAGGAAGCTATTTGTCTATGGGGAGAAAATACGTTGTGTTAATTTTCAGTCATTTTTGTATTAGGAATATTATGCACAAGAATTATTAAATTATGGGCTTGAATCTTTCGTGTATGCAGCTCTTATTTTTTATCATAGGCGTAAGATTTCAGGTTTGGGAATATAAAATGATTTTTTTTTCCTTAAACAACTAGTTAGTAGTCCCTATTTGGATACCTCAGCTTGTGGACTGATTTTAGTCTCTTAATTAATAAATATTAGTTATTTTCAATTATCAATTTATAACTATAATTATCAACTATTTTTAATATTTTTTTTATAAAAAATAAAAATTTATATTAAAATAAAAAGAGATTACAGATAAATTTCTATCAAAGGGTATTATAGCCAAATTAAAAACAGAAACGTAACTTATAACATTAGTAACAAATTTAAACTATACCCATGACGGATGTGAACAATTAAGCAAAGAAGGCCATCTGAACTATTTGTGGGGAGAGAGTGGTGAAGAGGAGACCGTTGAAGCTCCCTGCATCTTGGGTGTGAGATTTCAGAATTGGGATTTTTTATTTTTGGTCGACTTCTTGTTGTCGGTGTTTTTCAAATTTTTTTAAAAAACTTTTATTAAAAAAAAAAAAAGAACCACCCCTTACAAAGCAAGCTATGAACTGAGCACGCTTAATAAATCAAGAAGGAAAATTGAATCCATAGTGCCCGCATAAATGTAAAAATCTCTGGGAGGAAGAAATATAATTTTATGTACTGAAGGAGTCTCCTAATCTTCCTGCAAAATTCTTTTAAATAAGTCATACAAGTATACAATTCAAATACTAACAGATCTTAAATATACCCATAGAAGTTCCTAAAACATGAAATAACACACAACGATATGATAAAAGTTGACAACATACCAGAGTCATTGCAAAATATAAACTTCGACATCAAGGTTGTATAAATAAAAATTCAGCATCATCTGCTTTTGCGGCGATTTTTTGCAGCAGCACAGTCTGAACAATACCATTTTCCTTTTGGTTGTTCTTTAAGACCAACACATCCAAAATGAAACCATTCTATCTTGCACTGTTGAAAGAAGCAAAGACTTGTGTATCTGTTTCCTCAAAAATCCTCTAGTGGCCTCGCACGTGTGAAATCTGGATGCTGGCGTGCCACTTACTTTGCTGAAAGTAAGAAAGGAGGACTTTCCCAACGACCCTCTTCTTCCTCACAGTTGACCTCTTTGCAGATGGCGGGAAGAACGTTGGATTAAAATTGAAATTACGCCTTCAGACGATTTGCAATAAGGAGGGATGCCTTCTTGTAGATTGGGTTACGAAATCTGCATTGGACAACTCCAAGGACTTAAACACTACCGTGACTTAAAATTATCAAATCTTAATTATCTTAAATTACCTGCAATTTAAAATAAACTTGCGAGAAAGAAATGTACTTAAACTAAATTAAACATGCTTATGGTAAAATTAGAATGCAATCTATTGACAGATTC